AAATGAGGTTATTAATATAAAGGTTGTTTTAGAGTTTACATTATGAAAATGACAGTACTGCCCGAAATTTTAATTCCGAACTGTACGTTTTCGGATCCAAAAATGATTACAAATTATTTTGATCTCTCGGTATTAAAGCTTTTGGTGGCAAGTTTGGGGGGGGCCCTGGCCTTCTGGGCCCCTCCCCTGGATCCGCCCCTGATCCATGTTACATTAGATAATTGTGAAATAAGTCCCGGTTTTGGGGAATCCTCCGTATCGATTCGCTTGCATTAAATGATAAAAACCTCGATCATTAACAATGTAAATAAGCCGTGAGCATTTTTTAAGCAGATGGACCATATGTGCGATAATAAAAGTGACGTTATTTTCAGAGTCCTTTAGCTTTGTTTATCGATTTACAGGCAAAAGCAGTACCGGACGAAAGCTCTCTGGAAAAATGCCGTCCGAAGAGTGTCAAGCGAACGAAAAAAGCGCAATTTTGCGACTATCGTCTTTACTATGATGAGCCACGACGATTCCAGAAATGTCATCAAACAGGTAGTGTAACAATTTGGAAATTCTCCCTTGAGTATTGGTTACAGGAAAGCACCGATATGGAACCACCAAGCGCCACCAGTACTCTTCGAAACGGCAAAATTGACGACCACTGTGATTTTTTCAACAGTTGTAGTCATCAAGACTTCTTCGCGAGAGATGATGAGTGCACAGATGCGGCGAGGGAGGATTTTGCCAGTGTCTTCAAACGGGGGATGATGTACAAAGGGATTTACTGGCCGAGTCTCACTAATAGTTTTCAATGCAAGCATTTGGAACTTGCCTATCTGAGGTATTCTCATCGTCAAAGACAGAAAGCTCTGATTATAGTGAACATCGTGGATTTGTTGCTCAAGGTATGAGTTTTTTCCCCAAATTTGTAGTCCGTAATAACGAAAATTCCGACAGAGCTAAATTTTGGTAGAGACTTTGGGTACACCATTAGAAATAAAGTGTCAAAAGTCCCCATCGATCCCATGTGTGCTAAAAAAGTTTTATCAAAAAAGTAGCCCAAAATTAGAGATCTTAAAATTATCTACTTTTTTTTCTAATAATCACCATTACTGAGATATCGCGATCCTAAAAGTTGAAAGAGTCACGTTTTGCATGTCTGCCATGTATACAGGCTGCGCCAGAACTCGCACCCCAGATAAAATTTTCAAGTAAGGTAAGATACCAGGAACACGGAAAAAATGTTAAAAAAATTCTGTCAAAAAATTTTGACCTTTATTTTTTTGACATTTGACATTTTTGATGTCTATTTAATGATATTGATGATCTTGTATATGTTTATTTATAATTATTTAGTAAAAGTACAAAAATTTTGATAATAAATGCCACAAATAACATTGAGCTAATAGCCTGTAGCAAAAAAATTAAACAAATTATTTTTCCAACAGAAATAAATAAAGTCAAAGTGCAAAATTTAAACTTTCATAACTTTGAAATTTCTATAGATAGAATTTTTTTAAAATTTTTTCAATGTTCCTGATATCTTACCTTACATGGAATTTTTCTCTGGGGCGCGAGTTCTGGCGCACCCTGTATAATACGCCTGTTGGCAAGTCAGTATTATTGAAATTGATGGTTCGAACGTTAAATTTATATATAGAAAGATTTTTACTGAGAGAAGTTTTAGCCACGTTTTCTAAATTTTGGGAGACAAGGGTTTAAAAAATGTTGTTGCAGTGCTATACAAAGAAATGAATTATAATTATATTCAATTAGTTATTTCCTTATATGTTTTTTTATATTCATTAAAAACGTTTTATTTGTTTCTTATTTGTAAACGTCAATTTATCAAGTCACTATATTCATCTTGAAAATGTCTTAAAACTGGCTAACCAAAGTGACAGATTTTATTCGTTAGCCAGTTAAACGTTTAAAGGTCATACGATTTTTTCAAATATCAAAATTCTTTTTTTCAAACGTTAGAATTTCTAGAATTTTTAATGTTGATAATAGTGACATCACCCTCATCCCATCGCCAGTAAAAACCCTTTTACTATTCTCGTAACGTTAAATACTATAACATTTAACCTCGTTTTTTTTAACAGGCTTCTTAATTACAATAGGAACTGGTATTTTATAAAATACCTAATATTTTTCAGTTTTTTACAAAGCGACTGAATGTATCATCCAGCCATTTTTTAAATGGTAAATATTAAAATACATTTTACACTAATACGAAAACTGATTAGGCTTTAATAATAAAATTTTCCGTCAAATTGTAAAAACCCTGCATTTATTAATTCATTTACAATTTGCCCAGTCGTTTATAAAATAACTAGGGTTTTATAAAACGACTGAATTTGTAATTGGCCTACGACATACATACAGGATGCGCCAGAACTCGCGCCCCAGAGAAAAATTTCAAGTAAGATATGGTACCAGGAACATGAAAAAAATGTTTAAAAAATTCTATCTGTTAAAAAATTTTGACATTTATTTTTTGACGTTTGACATTATTTTATGTCTATTTAATGATATTGATGATCTTGAATATGTTTTTTTATAATTATTTAGTAAAGGTACAAAAAATTTGGTTAATAAAAGCCACAAATAACATTAAACAGAGATACAATTTAAGATACAGTTTCCTTATTTCCTCTTCTAATAGCCTGTAGCAAAAAACTTGGAAAATTAATTTTCCAACAGAAATAAATAGAGTCAAATTGCAAAATTTAAACTTTCATAACATCGAAATTTTTATAAACAGAATTTTTTTAACATTTTTTCTATGTTCCTGGTACCATATATTTTTCTTTGAGACGCGAGTTCTGGCTCACTTTGTATATCATGTAGAACGTGACTCCTGACTTTTTTGAATCGCTATATTTCAGGAATGGTGATTCTTACAAAAAAAAGTATAAGGACCATTTATGTACCAGGTGAATAAAAAGTATGGAACCAAACGTTTTTTGCTTAAACTATTTATTTTTTGAAAAAACTAATTGATGAGTGATAAAGTACTATAAATATGTGATGATTTAACAAGAATAAAATTTTTCGAAATTTCCTTTTGTTTTTGAGTTCTACAAAAAAAAATATTTTTTTAAATGGCAACCCACTATAAAATCATTTTTCTCATAAAAGCTATACTCTAAGGATTACAGCTATTTGCTTTATACTAAATTTTTTCAAAAATTTTTTTTTACATAAATTGCAATTTTGACAAAAAAATTTCGGATAACTCAAAAACAAAACAAAATTTCGATCACATTTTTTATATTACTTTAATTTATATTAATTATTATTTTCTGGAGGCAAATGATTAAAAATAAAACCGCTTGGTTCCATACTTTATATTCACCCTGTAGATAATTTTAAGATCTATAATTTTTGTCAGGGCTACTGTTTTGATAAAACTTGCCGTTTTCGAAAAAAATCTAAAAAGCCGCAAATTTCGACCTTTGACCCCGAATAAATTTTTTGTCACCCATGGGATCGATGGGGACTTTTGACACTTTATTCCTAAAGGTCCCCACCAAAATTTGGCCCTGTCGGAATTTTCGTTATTTGAAATGTCTATTTTGACCGGACTATTATTGTGTCAAAAACCGTTTTTTAGGCCGCTTTGATCATAATTTGGGCCTTCATTTCTACCAACAATTCGTGGCAAAATGAGTACCCGAGTAATATTGTGTGGTCGGTGTGTTGTATGTCCATAAACATCGCGATTTGTATTTTGGGGTGGTGGAGGTGTTTCGCCAACAATTACCTTCATTGGGCGGCGGTTTGTACGTGGTTGCTTCTCACCACACAAAGTCTGACTCGAAAAAAAAATTTCAAAATTTTACAAAAAAACTTGTAGGTTTTGTCGGAAACGGTTTTGGGTTTAGTATCAAAGAAGACCTAGTTTGGTACGTACTTTTCACAGTCTTCGTCCCATACGCCATGCTTCCTTTACCATTGCGATGGTGCATGATTGCTGGGTGTTTATCAGCCGTTGGGCACATCATAGTGATTTCCATCGAACTTTTTAGCAAACAATACAAAGTAAGTCATTTGGGGTTCTTATCACGTCTCTGAGTTTTGATTTTCAGCCAAACGATGACAATGAGTGTAAAATTCGTCGAGTCATCGCAAATTTTTTACTCTACGTTGCAGTGAATTTCGCTGGGATGTATACAAAATATTTGACGGATCGGAGCCAACGAAAGGCTTTTCTCGAAACACACCGCTCGATGGAAACCCGCTATCGCACCCAAAGCGAGAACGACAAACAAGAGAAACTCCTCCTTTCAGTTCTTCCCGATTTTGTTGCCAAAGAAATGATCAGAGACATAGAACGCGAGGAGCGCGGAGGTGTCTTCCAACCCCACCAATTTCACAAAATTTACATTCATCGGTACGAAAATGTCAGTGTTTTATTCGCCGACATTAAGGGGTTTACAGGTAGGGCTTTCTACAGGCTAAACCACACTTTAGAAGTATTGGGAGTTCTGACAATGATATTTAACTAAAATTTTGGGTATAGGCATAATCGGTTAGGTTCAACTCAATGAAAATATTTTCCGGTTACACCGGAAATGGGCTTAAAATAACTTCGTCATTTTCAATAGAAAGTTATGTTTTTTATTGGGTAATTCCATGCCAAAACGATCACTTTTAAAACTCACTGAATAATAGCTATAAGTAGCTACACTACGGACGTGATAATACATGTATTCTAAAAATTTGTTATTAACAAATAATTTAAAAATATATTGTTTAAACAAAAAAATTAACAATTACGCAGGTTTTTAAAATTCTCAAAAAAATTATGTAAAAACTTTCATATTTTTACTATGTCTTCACAAAAGTTTCAAGACGAACGTTTTAAAAATGGCTGAAAAAAAAAATTTGAGATCCCCTAAGATCGCCTGAAAGTAGCGTTTCCTTGGAAATTAAATAGAAAAACTACCAATTATCGTCACTAATAAACTGTTGTATAGAAAACACATAATTTCCAATAACTTATTAACATTTATTTTTCAAAAAATATCAATAATAAATACAAATTCCTCGGTTGAGGAAGAGTACTCTCTATATTTTTTTAATTCTATTTTCTGATATTAGAATAAAAGTTTATAGATTTTGCGTACCTTTTATGTGCTTCGCTCGACTAAAACGATCATTTAAAAAATCGCAGTATTTCTTAGATAGATATACAGGGTGTGTCAAAAGTCTTGGACCGAATGGAAAAAATGTAAAAAAAAAATATCTTTAAAAATTTCGAAGTTATGAGAGTTTAAATTTTGCACTTTGACTGTATTTGTCTATTTTATGTTGGAAAAATAATTTTCCATGGTTTTTTTGCTACAAGCTATTAGAAGAAGGAAGCTGTATCCTAAATTGTAACTCTGTCTAATGTTATTTGTGGCTTTTATTGGCAAAATTATTGTACCTTTATTAAATAATTATAAAAAAAAACATATACATCATCAATATCATTAAATAGACATTAAAAATGTCAAATTTCAAAAAATTAATGTAATTTTTTTTTGACAGATTGAATTTTTTTAACATTTTTTTCATGTTCCTAGTATCTTATCTTACATGCCATGTCACGTTGGTCCGGGAATTTTGACACACCCTGTATAGCTAAACGTAATATGTGAAATATTTATTCAACCGAAAAATTTGTTTTTATTATTAAATTATTTGAAAAATAAATGTTAATAAGTTATTGGAAATTATGTGTTTTCTTTAGGACAGTTTATTAGTGACGGTAATTGGTAATTTTTCTATTTAATTTCCAAGGAAACGCTACTTTCAGGCGATCTTAGGCTATCATGCACTAAGAAACGCTCCCAAAAAAAATTTTTTTTAAGCCATTTCTAAAACGTAGGTCTTGAAACTCATAGTAAAAATATGAGAGTTTTTACATACATGTTTTGAGAATTTTAAAAACCTGTGTAATGGTTTATTTTTTTGTTTATACAATATATTGTTAAATTATTTGTTAATAACAAATTTTTAGAATACATATATTATGACGTCCGTAATGTACCTATTTATATCTATTGTTTAAAAAAATTGTTTCAATCTGTTGATTTGTTCTTTAGATAAAAATTCTTTTTGCTCCGTGATACTTAATTTTATAATCAAGTGATTTTGAAAGAGTTTTCATTAGCCTTTCCTATACCTAAGTTTAACCGTTTTTGAAATATTTGAACTTTTTAAAAAAAAATTGGATTGGAATCTTCCTATTCAAAAATCAATAACTCTACTATTTTTTATTATGTTTAAACCGAGAAAGAAAGGTTAGATCTTTTCTTTGGTGTATTTATAATTGGAAAAACAATTAACAAACCGCCAAAATGGAGGTTATATTTGGAAACTTTAAATACCCTTAACTCAATTTTTCTAAATGAAACACCCCAATTTTTTCTTCACTAAATGGAGGAGAATTAAGTTAAGCTTCGATCTGTATTAACATTCCCTATACCTATGTTTGATAGTTTTCAAGTTATAGTAACTTCTTTTGGTATTGTGAGAAATTCATTAGCCATAGCTACTTTAGCATAGGTTGTCATAGAAATAAAAAAAATTGAATATTAAAGTTATTCAAATTTAGATTAAATAGAAATTTGTATTTACGAAAAGAATACACAATTGTGAAAAAAACTTGGCCCAATTTCATTTTCATTTCCATGGCAAACTATGCGAAAACTACCATGAATAGTAATGAATTTCTTCCATTGTAAAAAAGTCAAAATAACTTGGAAATCATTAAATTTAGGTATGGGAAATGTTGACACAGATCAATGCAGAATTAAATTTTCTTTTATTTAGTGAAGAAAAAAATGGGGCCAAATTCAGTTACGGGTATTTGAAGTTTCCCAACGTAACCTTAAATTTTGGCGGTTTGTTAACTATTTTTTCATTTATAAATACACGAAAGAAAAGATCTAGCTTTTCTTTTTCATACGCCCAAATACTATTTCAAAATAATTAAAAATGGTAGAGTTATCGATTTTTGGAGAGGAAGATGCAAATTTAAAAAAAATCCAAAAAGTCTAAATATGTATTTCAAAAACGGTTAGGGAAGTCTGATGAAAACTCCCTCAAAATCACTTGAGTAATCCAAAAACCAAATAAAAAACATAACTTTCTATATAAAATAACGAAGTTGATAACCACTTCCTGTGTAACAGGAAAATATTTTCATTAAGCAAGAGTTAACCGATTATGGCTATAAACAAAATTTTAGATAAATTAGAACTGCTAATACTTCTAATGTGGGGTTGAGCCGGAACATCCTGTATAATATAGTTTATTTGCTACCAACGCAAAATAGCTCTAGCTAGCCAATGCAGTGCCCAAGAACTGGTCCGAATTCTGAACGAACTTTTCGCCCGTTTTGATAAACTCGCAGCTGTAAGTTTGTAAAAAACCTCAATTTTTTAATAATTCGTGCAAACAGGAGAATCATTGCTTGAGGATCAAGCTTCTGGGGGATTGTTACTACTGCGTGTCAGGTTTGCCAACGCCAAGATCGGACCATGCCCACTGTAGCGTCGAAATGGGGCTGCATATGATCAAAGCCATTCGAGATACCAGGACCAAAACTCAAGTAAGTAATTGAAAGTTTTACGTCGCTTTAAAATTTGATACACGCAATAAACATCGTTTATAGACTTTAAAATAGCAAGTCAACATTAATTGATTTTTGCTATAAAAAGCACGCAAGGGAAAAACATCCTTTCATATCGTGTTTTTCCATAATCACAGAAACACGATTAAATCGAAAATGATTTATTATTTAGTTCCTTGATAACAAAAATTGACATTTTTCTTCCAACTCCAATAACATTTCCCTTGATTCTTCCGCCACAATTAGCTTCATCAAAACACAGGGTTTGACACTTTCAACACTATCAACAAATTCGTCCCATGACAAGATATTCTCCAAATTAAAACCAAACGAAGCCGTGGTTTGCTCCAATTCTTCGTAATAAATCTTCTGTAATTTCTCTTCAAATTTCTTCTCGCCTAGATAAACCACTGATAGAAAATCGTAAGCCGGGGGACAATATTTCAAACATTCACAATTCACAAATCGACAATCGATCTCATCCCGGACTAAAATATTATCACAATTGAGATTACCATGCGATATGACTTTTCTGAACTGATTCGAAGCATACATTTCAGCGAGTTTTGGAAAACACTTTTTCAAATTTTCAAATGAACCACTCATAGCTTCAAAGTTGATGTCTTCAAAATGTTGGGAATAGTCGTCACAAACTCGATACGTTCGTTTTAAATCTTGTGACATTTTTTCCTCAAAAATCAGACTTGTGGCATGAAGTTTGGCTAGTTTTTTCACAATCACTGATAATAATTTCAAAGAAAGAGAACCCTTCGACAAAGATTGATAATTGAGAAGTGATAAATCTTCAAAAACTATTAAATCGTTGGGTCTTTGAAAGTATGAAATGGGGACACAATTGTTGATCCCTTGAATTTCTAGTTCTTGCAAAATTGGGATGAGAGTATTGTACAAAAAAAATTCTCTTCGGAATTGTGCACTTTGAGAGTTTTTAATACAAAAATTGAGTGTCTTTTCGGTTAAATCCTTGCGAATTTGAATTTTTAGTTTCAAATTGGTTAGTTTAAATGATAACAGATCATAATCATTCGATTGTGTTTTATTTCTAATGATGGTGAAACAATCTTCTCTTGAAATTTGAGGACAAGACAAAATCTCCTTCACTTCTGCTAAACCTTTCTTCTGTTCTTTGTTCCGAAGCACAAGTTCTAATTTGATCAAAAGAAGCAACGCATGACTTGATTGTTGCAAATCCTCAATTGGTAAAATCTTATCAATATCTAATTGATATTTCCCAAGGGCTTCTTTCAATTGATTGTGATAAAAAACCAATAAAGATTCGTAATGTTCCTTTCGGAATTTTTCATCAGAATTGAAAAAAATCAATTGCAACACATCATAAATGGGTGGGACGTACAATCTCGTCTTAAAATTAATCAATTTGCAATTATCCGGGACCCCATTATCATAGTGAAACAAAATGTTACTCCAAATCAAATCACTGTGACACAAAACCCGTCTAAATTTTGTCAAACTCTCCTCCAGATTTTTCACCAATTGCGAACTAACTTCCTTATTTTCTAACACGTCCTCAATTTCCCTCACATCGAAATTAAAACTTTCCAACTGGTAGTTTTGTCCCAGTTTCCTCGCGGTGATTTCCTCGTAGACGAATCCCGCGGCGTGAAACTCGGCCAAAACACTCAAAACGCGTCGGAAATGATCGCCAGTGAAGCGATCCAACTCACATTGGAAGCGTTGACAAGTCAAATCTTCAAAAATCTGCAAACCGGATTTGCTACAGTAGTACTTCGGTGTGAAACTCGGCTCGAAATCCGGGATTTTCGCGCGAAAGTCGGCGAGAATTCTGTCGATTTTGGGCTTCGACCCGGATTTGATGTAAAAACACAGCGTTTCATCGTTGGTGGTGGTGATTTTGACGATGAAATTGCCCCGATGTCGGGGGATGGCCTCGAAGTCGGTGGCGGTGGCGGCGCAGTTTAGCCGTTTTTGGAGCACTTCGTCACAGTCTTTGAGCGAAAATTCCAAGTCGGTCATTGTAGCGCGAGTTGAGAGAGAGAACTGAGACTTGTTTTACGTAACGACAGATAAGTATAATTAACTCGGCGTAAACAATGACAAAACAGAAACTTATATTTATTTTTATTCAAAGGTATTAAGTACACGTTTTATTTAATTTTTTTCGATTGGTAACAAGGTCAGGAGGAGCATATAATAATCACACACTTCAATCAAGGTTATTTAATTCAGTTCAATGCCATGGAGGAACACAAATCGTACAAATCTAAAACCGACTCGCGAAGTCTGCTTCTGAAAGACTCGGATTTTTTGTACATTTCGGCCAAATACTCCTTGCGATCTTCAAAAAACACCCGTCTTGAAGTTTCTTCATTGTTTAAAAATGAAGCAATTTCTTCTGAGGTGCACATACAAAAGCAAAAGTACATCGTGACTTGTAACACCATTTGTGGCTTAATGTAATCAATACTTTTGCAAAATTCCTCAAAAGGAAGAATTTTGTTAACATCGTAATTGTAGGAATTTAAAATTTTGCCAAGTTCGGTGTAATAAATCGACCTGATTTTTCCCTCGTGTTTCATTCTATTGGCCCTGTCGGTGGTCAAATGAAGCACTGAGAGGTAATCATGGGCCGGTGGACAATACCTGATACATTGATAATCGACATATTGGCAATCTATGGGTTTTGTACCATCAAATCGTACCATGATATTGTTGGTCCATAAATCACCATGATTTAGCACATTTCTGTAACAACTCGAAGGTTTTGTAACTGTGTAAAACAACTCTTGTAGTTTCGGCCAACACTTTTCGAAATTCTTCAAATTCGTTTCAGTTTTCTCTTCTGGGAATAAATCCATAACGTCGGTAACCGATCGAAGTCCCGTCTGCATCATAACAGCACCAGTCTGTGCTTCTTCTCTCGAAAAGAAGACTTCTTGTAGATAATCACTGTATTTTTCACCAAGACACAACGACATTTTCTCCTCAAAGACGAACATGCTCGCGTGAAATTTCGCAAGTTTTTTTATTGTTAATTCAAGTAAAGGAAAATCGAAGGGGACTTGGGCTTTGAGGGAGCGATAATTTGAGGATAAGTCGTCGAAAACCATAAGGTCGTCACTTCTTTGGAAGTAACAAGTCGGGAGACATTCGTCGATTGTTTCAATTCCGTGGTTTAACATTTGCGGGATAAGAATTTGGTAAATAAAAATTTCTTTAGAGAAACATCCAGTGTCTTGTATTATGTCTCTCGAAGCGTTACTTTTCGGCATACATTTTATAAAACAGTTGATTATTTCGGGAGATTTGTGGAAAATTTTAAGTTTAAGTTTGTGGTAATTACCCAGGTATCCATTGACTGCATCGAGTGGTGTCATTTGGAAAAATTCAAGCTTATAATCCGAACTTTTAATTTTATTCCTCACTATGGTGTAGCAATCTT